CCCAGAGCCTCAAACACGGTGGTGGTGGAGCGTGCTACCGCGTTAGGTAAAACACGCGTTGCCTTGGCAATCTGATGATAAACCAAGATTACGTGTTCAAAATGCGGAATCACCCCTTTTACTCCGCCCTTTCACCCAGCCCAGAAAACCCCTCTTCCCCCTTCCCTCACCAACATAGCCCAAAAGGCGATGAAGGTAAGATAAACACACCAAGTCTTACCGAACTGTGTCTCGTTTGTCTCGGTTTAGTGCAGGTTATAGCGAGAGAGATACCTCTCGAACTTATCCTGCATTAAGATTCATTGAGAAAGATATTAAAGAGAGAAAACTCAGCAGTCCTGGAAAATATGCGTGGAAGAAGTGCTGAAGACCTGAAAGATGATTGCTGAAGAAAATTTAAGATGATTATCCGGGAGGATATGATTGAATATTAGACTGACGAGTCGGTGTGCAACAACGTCGAAGTAACATTTTTCCACCATTCAGAACCGCTTAGAAGCAAGATGGGTTCACCCAGACTACTACTGTCGCGTTTCCCCACTGGGACGGGAGCTTCTACGTCAAGTTGCATATCCTTCAGAAATACATAGGTTCCTAATGCCCCAAAAGCGGAGTACCGGAGACCCCTGAGCGTGTCGTGAACTGCTCGCCATGGTGCTCTAATGGCCAGGCTTTTGAGGTAAGGTCTCTTTGTTCTCACGGAGAACGAGATTCTTCAGCTGGTGACGGAGAAGAAGTACTCGTATTACAATGATTTTGTGTATGAGTTCATTGAGCTCGCTTTTGGAAGGCCGCCAGAAGAGTGATGCAGACGAATACTACTCTCATGGACCACCGTTCGTAAAGTCAAATATTCTATGTTATGTAAAATGTATTACGTACATTATATAGTTATGTAATAAATAATATGTTTCTATGATGTGTTTTATACTTTATTTTTTTGATAGCAGAGATGGCATACACATGTGTGATATTTCACTACTGCCAAACCCGTGTAGCCGAAATAGACATGAATAAAAACAAAAAGTGTTTATCCAACCAACTATCTTTGGTTAAATTATGTACAAAAGAATTGTCCTTCCTTCATAACTATTTTTCCTGGTTTTTCCCTTAGATTTGCTTATTTTTTGCATCTGAAGCAAAAAATAATCTTTAAAATGATGGTCCAATCATTGGATTTGATGAAGAATAAACAAAGGTATGGTGTACCTCCAAAAAAAAATTTTTTTGAGAATATTTAAGAAGATGATAAGGAAATATTAAAAGTTTCTTATTTATTTAATTGTCTTTTTCATTTAATTTATAACTTACAAAACTAATTATATTTTTCGTTGAAACATCTATTATTCAGAATCGATGAAAAACGTACACTTGAAAAAAAATAGATGAAGGAGATGGTCCGGAGCGGCGGTCATAAATAGGCTAAATAGTGGCAAAACTATTCTATTAAAGCCAACGTTTCGACCAGATTTTCCAGGTCTTCTTCAGGGATGTGTGTTCAGCTAGGAGTTTCACTTAGAACTGGACTCCTACACTTAGAACTGGAAACTCCTAGCTAAACACACCTCACTGAAGAAGACCTGCAAAGTCGGGTCGAAACGTTGGCTTTTAATAAAACAGATTTGCCACTATTTAGCCTATTTATGACCGCCACCCCGGACCATCTCCTTCCTTTATAATGCAACGGTCAACTATTAATTATTCAATATGACGAAAAAAATAGATGGGAGTTTCTATAAGAAGATTCCTAGCTCCGTTTGCGGAAGTATCTAATGCTAAGCTTTGTTGAGTTTTATGTCCTCATCCAATTCAGCCACGGAAACTCCTTTAAGAAGTAATAGATTTTTTTATGTTTAACTTTGTTGTTTCACAATATTTTCAATTTTTTTTTTATGATTAATTGATTTAAAACATTGGGTTTGTTAAAAGACTTAACTTTTTCAATTCAACATACACAAAAAGAATTATTAAGGGTTATATGTTTGTACTTTGGTAATATTTTTGTATGATTACATAACATTTCACAATCGAGTCTGAAAGTAGAACATTGTTGGCCAACTAATTGATGAATCATCTTATTCCTGGAGACCAATCCTTACAGAGTTAAATTGTGTTTGTTTATCATTATTCTAATTTTTGCATGGCTTTATATAAAAAAAGAAACTTAATGAAAGGCCTACAACACAGAGATTATTGACCGACACAAGAGGCTTCTATTTCCCAAGAGACAAGGAGGAAAAATGGACAAAATTACTTTACCCACCGAGCCAACGACGTTTCCTCTTCAACATCCAATATTTCATCTAATCGAAGCTGGAAAGTTGGGACCAAAGACATTTCAAGTAATAAGATATATTTTTTTTTTTTTATGACTTGAGGAAATTCAAACGTTGCAAAACTTTCTAGGAAAAAACATACTTTTTTTTATAACAAATTAAGTTCAGTTGACCTCTTTAAGGGTGGAAACAACTTTTAAAGCATAAAACATAACTGGGTATGGCAAACCACCAACTGGATATTTTTTAGTTGGGGCTATTAAAAGCTCCAACGGCGTTGTATAATGATAAAATGGCTTTCGATGAAATAGGACACTCCTCATTCGTTAGGAACCGGATAACTGATCATTATGGAGGCATTCGTAACACTCTTATTCGGATTTCGTGTAAGTCGATGAAATCTAATCCAAACAGAGTTTATGATGTAATATAAACTTATTCTAAATAATGGAAATGTCTGCCGTTGGTTGATTCGAATGAATTTATACTTCATTATATTTCAAATTTTACTGATTGAAATTAATTCAATTTATCATAGGTAAAATGCATTTTAAATCATTTATAGTAGGTTCGTCATTTAATAAAAACAGTTTAGCAAATGATGGTTGGAGGTTACTTCAAACACAACGTTCTTGAAACAATTGTTTCTGGCACTAGAAAACGTCGTCAAACCACATTATGGAACATATTATTTTTATTTTTAAAAAGTTGAGAAATAAATCTTTACTACGATCGAATCAATTTGATTTCTCCATATTCAAGGAAAAAATATATTCAATATTCGAAGATATTTCGGCATACCTCATAAAGAAGAAAAAAGTCCATTTATATTACGATCCAATTCCACAATAAAATAAAGAAAAATTAAGTGTTTTTAAGAAACGTTTTTTTGTTGGATAAAGTACGATAAATAAAAAATATTTAATTTAAGTAATTAAAAATTAGAGAATATTGAACCGTACAAAATCATCGTTAAAAATAGGCCATATTTGTCAATATTAAAACCGTTGGAAGGGTGCTTTAAAGTGGCTAAAAAACTGGAAGTTCTGATTCCATAAAATAATGCATTATTCGGGATGTGCTTTATTAACTCCTGTTCGAACAATGATTCCTCGAAAATTTTAATTGACTTTGGCTAGAGAATCTTAATGTGTTTATTTCTGAAACTTAAAAAAAAAAAATTAATATCTATTTTGATTGTAATTTTATGAGCATTGAGAAATTTTTAATTGTCAAAATATAAGGTTCTTAATTTTTTTGTAAATCATAGTTTTATTAAAATATTATAATCATAACACAGTTCAGCGCAGACTTCTGGTGGGGAGGGAGGGAGGGGGGATCGTTTCCCCCAGTGACAATGTTGACGGGGCGAGAATATCGTTTCGCTTCTCCTCTTCTCCCCCAATTATTTAATGTAAAGAAATTAAAATTGATAAAATTCGTAAACTAAAATAAGAAAAGTAGACTGACTGGCTATGCTAAGATCTATAAGAAGGTGTAGTCCGTGGTACAGAACCCTTTTTATCAAATTATTAACATTCCACTGAAACTTCGCAAAAAGCTTCATCTCGTTGTAACAGGTCTCATTGTGTTCAGCTAGGAGTTTGACTTAGAACTAGAATTGGAACACTGAAGTTTAACTTGTAATTGTTCGAAACGATGGCTTTTAATAAAATAGTTTTACCACTATTAAGAGTATTTATGACGGCCTCCTCGGACCATCTCCTTCCTTTATAATTCAACGCTCAACTATCAAATATACAATATTACTCAAAAACCAAGGGGCCAACAACGGCCAGATACAAACTCAGCACCTCTTCGCCGCAGTAACAGACTCCAAGGTAACAACAGATCCTCACCGCTGCCTTTACCCCAACATCACCACGACTCAGACTCTCCATAGATAGCTTCATATCATTCGCCTACTTCGTCTTCATAACCTCATCTCCTGGTATTCCAAATACGAGGCATCACATTGACTTCACCAAACCCAGTTGTGTCTAGGTATCTTCAATTTTCTTAAAACGAAATTCCATCCATATAAATCCAAATTTAATAATTTTTGCAACCTGCACAAACAGCTCACTATAAAAACAGCAGTTCTAATTCAAACTCCTAGTCGAATACACCTCCCTGGAAAAGACCTGCAAAGTCGGGTCGAAACGTTGGCTTTTAATAAAATAGTTTGACCACTATTTAGCCTTTTTATGAACGCCACCCCGGACCATCTCCTTCCTTTATACTGCAATCAAATATTCAATAAATATATTTTATAGAGTAGGTTTTCATAAACATTTTTAAATAACTAGTTAGACTGTGAAAACATGGTATTTATATTTCAAGATTGTGGAAATTAAGAAATTTTATATATTTTTCAGTTTTTTAACATAATTCATTTTTAGCTGAAAAAGTTATAGAAATATATATCTATGTTATGGAGGCTATCTCCCTCCCTTCCAAATGTATACAAATCGTAACATATTCAATGGTTTTTTTTTCAGATATTTTCAGGAATATCTATATCCATATATTTGTTCGTTTCAGAATAATTATGTTGAATTTTTTTTTTTTTTCGCCAACCAAAATGGAAACTCTGGACCTATGACAAAGTTTGCTGATTCTTATTTATAAACTGTTTCTCATTCATAGAATTAAATTAAATAATTTTTAGAATTAGAGGAATTAAAAAAGGGAAAAAAAAGGAAAATTTCAATGTATTTTCTTGGTTCCTATACCAAGCTAAAATATATATATTTTTATTGCTTAATATGTAAGAAAATATACTTTTGTACAAAAATACAACTCAAAATGTTTACAACAATATTAGCTCTTAAAGCTTTTTAAAGATTGTTAGAGGATATAGTTATTACATTATACATATTTTAAAGATTATAATAGATGTGTAGAATAAAAAAGCTTCATCAATGCGTTCACTGCTTTCTCCTTAGTTTTTACCTAAAACAAAAATAAGAATGAGAAACTTGTTCTAAAATATTCAAATTTCAATGCTAATCTGAATTACAGATATAAATCAATGTATCTATAATTGTTTAAATGTTTCTATTTTCTCAAAACCTAGAAAATGTATACTTTATTGTTATCGTCAGACATAGCAAAAAGGAGTTTTTCCAAGGTTTTAATACATTTGAAATTGGCCAAATATGGGTGAAGAAGCATCCTCAAAATGTTTATTTAAATTTATATAAAATTGGCATAAATAAATAATCATAAAATATTAATGAAGAACAAATAAAACTACCATTAGATAATTATTTATTATTAATTACTGTAAGTTTTTTAATAAATAAAAATAAAATCTTAGACACCTAGAAATGAATATATTTAGTTTAAACTTTTAAAAAATAATTAAAAGTATAAATAGAAGTGAATTTGATTAAATTAATATTAAACTAAACATTTAAATTTTAATATTAAAAAATAATAATTAAATGAACTATCTTTAGGCTAAGTGTATAAAATAGGTTAACCATCGATGTGCGGTGAAATTATCAAACTCCTAAATCTCCTACAGTTGTTGGAAGTTTGACAACTGCCAAAGCGCTTTCACAATAATTTGAAACCGTTTGAGGTGCCAAAAGTGTATTTGTCTCTTATCATTTCTAAATAAAAGTTGGCCTGGTTGAGTTAATTCAACTAGGAAGTTCCCCGGGAACTTTTCCGACAGCGGAAATATGTCAAAATACCTCAACTTGGTCCTGGGGACATTTTTATCTGACTACTCTGTTGAGACAGATAAACTGTGCAGTCTTGACTTGGCTCCAATTTCCTAATTTTCTACGTCAAGAACTGCTTAATGCGATTGTTGAGTTTTTCATTCTCTTGATACGCTCTCTGAGGAATTAGGAATTAAATCATTCTTAAATATCAGCGGTGCTCAGAAGGGGCTTGTATGGCGCAAGTTGCGACATCAAAATTTTTTAGGGGAATATATTCTAAAGGGTTTTTTAATTTTTGTGGAGGGGGGGCAAATTTCGACGGGGTATGAATCTTCGGAATAAAAAGTTTCAAAATAAGGGACAAGTATAAAACATTGTTGTAGACATCCGCCTGTATTTACTCCTTTATATGACATTGTGTGAGGGAATGAGAAGGAATATATAGGAATGTCAGGTTGCACGATGAATTGTACTCAATTGTGCAGTGGACAAATTATTCATTGAAAAGTCTGATATCGATAAAGGAGGAAGAAGGTTGGGATAGGACGGAGCAGGTAGCAGCAGATGGAAAAAGACGCTGGAGAAAAGAAAGGCACTTGAGGATGGGACATGAAGACGAAAGGACGTTACCTGTGAAGAGAAGGTACTTTAGGCCTAAACAGGAAGAAACGAGGTTGTCAGAAGAGAGAGGCACGACACTGAAGACTAAGAATATCAAGCCTACAGTTATAACACTTTAATAGACCCATGTATAACAGTTGTCAAAATAAATTGTTTTATTATCCAGGAATGAAAAGTCATTTTATTTAGTTGTCTTATATTCCTCACAATTGAAGAATAACAAACCAGGTGAGTCAATTCATTCAAAGTATGTTTACTAAGTCCCACATTTCAGATATATATATTCTTATTATTTCATGTCACTCAGTGTCACAAAAAGGTATTAGATTCCCGAATTCCCAACGACAGTTAAATACCCTCAAAAAGTCTATATCCAGTGCCGGGGTTTTGTTTTAATATTCACGAGTGTAAAGAACCTAGTCCCCAGATAAAAACGGAAAGGAATATTCACTATTCCCGCCTAAAAGATCATTTATAATTAAATCTTTATCAGGTTATTTACAACATGGAACATACCGCAGCAAATGTAATTGTTTATGATCTATGATTTTTCTAATTTAATTTTCCTTGCTCTGTTTTTAAGAAAATGTGCAATAAAATATTTTGAGAGGGGCGGGTGTAGGTCCTTGCGCCATTGACCTTGGGAGGAATGGACACCCCTGATAAATATACACAAAATTAAAACGTTTTCTAACTTTGTGTTTTAAATTTTCCGATTCTCCCAGATCACTAATTTGGATTCCGCAGTCCCATTCCACTATCCAGCAATGCCATCGTGTGGTGGATGTTGCCTCCTCTCCATTGGAGCGCGGAATGTACTGCACGGGAGTCTTTCTCGATGTAGAACAGGCTTTTGATCGAGTCTGGCACCCAGGACTGCTTTACAAACTCCGTAAATTCCTACACCCTACATACTTCCTTATTATCCGTTCCTACGTTACTGATAGATCCTTCAAAGTAAATCATAATAATGCCTATTGATCCCTTTTTTCCCAGTCCGCTGGTGTTCCTCAAGGTAGTATCCTAGGTCCTATCCTTTACACAGTTTATACAGCTGATATCCCAACCCATCCTAACACAGGCATTACCACGTATGCCGATGATACATGTGTCCTATCAGTTAATAACGACCCAACAATTGCATCCCAAACCCTTCAATCACACTTCACAAACCTTGAAGAATGGTGTCAAAACTGGAGAATAAAAATAAATTCCAACAAATCCCATCAAATCACCTTTACCCTTCGTCGTAAACCTATGTCCTCTTGTCCTACAGTATCCTTTAATAATACCCCACTTATCCCTGTTGAACAAATTCGATACCTTGGACTCCACTTAGACAAACGTCTAACTTGGAATTCTCATACCAGACTGAAACGACAAGAAACAGCTCGACGTTTCCGACTACTCCAGCACTTACTAGACAAACGCTCTAACCTCCCAATCAATTACAAAAGACTCATATACATGACTACAATAAGACCTATTTGGACTTACGGAGTTGAGCTCTGGAGCTCCACTAAGCCATCGAATTCCTCTCGTATTCAATCCTTACAATCCAAAATCCTTCGTAAAATCCTCACTGCTCCTTACTTTGTCACAAACAAAATCATCCATAACGACCTTAATGTTCCTTATGTTTCTGACCTGGCCCAATCCAGATACCTATCCTTCCATAACAAACTTCAGAACCATCCAAACCCTCTCGTTTCTAACCTTGCTTCCTCTTCGATCCCTGACAACCCTCAGAGGCGTCTGAAAAGAAGATGGCCTCGAGATCTCCTTTTGTAAATACATTTTTAGAGTGCTACCAATGGGTAGTTTCTCAACATGTGATTTCATGTTATTTTATTCCTTTGTTCACATTTACTGAATGTATTTTTACTTGTAATACAGTTGTAAATATCATCAATAAATAAAAAAATAAAAAAAAAAATTTCCGATTAATGATCTTAAGTCTGGGTTAGACATCTTTGGCTAATCCATCCATTAATTTTATCCTTGGCATTTCCCTTCTTCATTAGCTATGGATCTCTCTTTGTAACATTTTGTTTTCATCTTGATCTTCGGACAATGTTTCGATAAATCCAAGATGAAGCGAATTACTTCAATAAAGGTTATTCTATCTCAATATTAGTCCTCTGTTGCCAGGTTTGGTTTTAACAGGTTGTCCCCAGGATTCTCCTCAGAATCTACCTTTCAAATCTTTGGGAAGCCTAGTTCTTGTTTCTGGTTTTATCGCAGCGTTATAGATAAGAAAAGACTTTTTTAGTGGCATCAAATAAAATAATGAAATGTTTTACTATCTTGGCCTGTATACTGATACTACTTGCACTGGTATTAGTAACGGAACTCGTCCTACTTATGAGCCTTGAGATTCTGTATGTGACTCATTTTTAACAGCGTCGAATAATAACTAACCCAGGTAGGAATCAAACCGACTGCGTTCGGAACATAGGACTCCGGAACCCTCGTCCAAAAGTTAAACGCTCTCCCAGCCAAACGCAACACTAATCGGGAGATTAGCGCAATTCCTATGCATCTCTGCGCATAGTATGTACAGTAAAAAAATAAATAATTAAATAAAATATTAATGATTATTACAATAAAAAGTATTTGTCCGTGGTACAGACCCCTTTTTATCAACTGATTAAGATATTGAGCCTCTTTTGGCCTATATTTTTTTGGCCTATATAACCTCTTTATTTGACAATTTGGGAATGTAGCTCACGCTAAACGGCTCACTATTTTTGAAGACCACATTTTTTTTTTTGACTTTGAGCTCAAGTTATCTTACGATTAAAGCGGAAAGCAAATGGTAATTTACGTGTTTTTAGTACTTAATGAAATACACAAAGTTTGTCGACCTCCACTTTGAAAACGCCCCAATTACGAGAATTTTCATAAATAAAGCATTTGTAGGTAGGATGAGATGAAGCTTTTTACGAAGTTTCAGCCGGATGTTAATAATTTGATAAAAAGGTGTCTGTACCACGGTCTATACAGATAAAAAAGTTTCGGCTTGAATACTTATAGTTCGTTGTTTTTCTAATTTGAATTATTTACTTAATCCTAGAACTTAAAAAAATAAGTGAATTAAATAACAAATTGTATAGTAGTTGATTTTTTTTAATTTTTCATGAAAAAAAAACTTTTATCTTAGCCATAGGCAGATATAAAGGGGGAGGCTTTCGGGCTGAAGTCTCCCCAAAATGGTAAAATGTAACCATGTTTTATGTTGGAAAATTATCTCTTATAGTATTATCATCAGTGTAATTATATTTAATAGGACTTCAAGAATCACTTATATGCCGTTTCATACGGGTCGTTAGTATCTTTTTTTTTTTTCCAAAGTAATTATCGTTTTATATATATATATATATAGCTGAAGCCATACACCTCTTCCCTCCCCCCAAAAAATTAAATCCTGGATCCCCTATTGATTTTGGCCAGTAATAAACTAGTTACTTTTGTCCATTAAAAAGTTATGAAGCACACTACTAGCTTTAATGTCGCGCGATGGCTGATGCTATGCTGTGAAACATGTTCAGACTGGCACAACATCCCTTTCTTCCTAATAAACCTATCGGCAATTCCTTATAGTTTCGCTGATATGACGACAATCACAACCCTACCCTGGCACAACCGACCCATCTC